GGAATATGCATGTTGATGAAGCAATCTAAGTTAGTGAAAAGCTGTTAAAGTTTTGAAAGTTAGATATGATTGCTACCCAGGTCTACAAGACTGTAATTTTATGGGTCCTGAAATGATCTTACAATTCGTCGTAATACTGTTTTCCTTTTTTCTCCTCATAAAAAACAAAGAAATCGAGCATAAGAGGTGCATTTGAAAGAATATTTTGCTTAGACCTTCATTTTATTAATTGGGCCTTATTTGCAAGATGCTGCTCTACAGGTTGTTATTTATGCGCAACAATAATTAGATACCCGAAAAAAATGTGATAGTTTCAAATAATCTAAATTTAGCAATACATAATGCAATAAAAATCATTGGAAATGGTATCATTTTCTCTTTCATATATCTCTAGGCACTGTTTAGAACAGGGATGACCAATGCGGACCACGGCGATATTCACGAAATTTATAATGTGATATTTTCTGTTGACACAGCTAAAGTTAAGAAATTCATTCTGACACTTCTGAGTAAAAATAGCATGAACGGTCATCGTAACTGTCAACAAAAGCACATTTAAGCTATAATGTCACAGGTTCCGATTGGCTGAAAAAATCCACAATTCTGGAGTGCTCACGTGACGATCACGTTTAACATATTCGCATGGGTACAAACAGACGGCTTGCTCAGTGTCTTCAGTGAATTTTTTAAAATGAGTACAAAGAAGAGAATAAATTTTGATGAAAATAGACAATACTGTGAACAATGGAGAGGAAAGTATTCAAAATTTCAAACCAATGTGTTTAATTTATCGAGAAATTGTCACTGTATTTACAAAACAGAGCGTGAAAAGACATTACGAAACAAAACCTAGCGATTTTATGATAATGGAGAAAGAAATTAAAGAATCAAAGATGACAGAATTTATTTATATCGTATATAAAAGCTCAATAAAAATATTTAGTTCAGCGTTACAACACTTATTTCATATTTTGAAGAAAAGTTATTCGTTTCATACCTATTTGCTAAAAACATGAGTGAGGTGATCTTGATTCAACATAATAAATTTGTATTTTCTATCCCGCTCAGACTGGGAATCAATAAGCTCTACCTGAAACGGAAATTAAATTCAGAAACAATCATAAATTTCACAATGCCCTTTTTAATACCTTTCTGTATTTTTCTGGCAGGGCTAACAAAGGTGGTTGTATAGTTCAATATCATTATGTGAAACATTTTTGTATTTTGTTGAAACATTTTTCAACATTCTGTCACGTCGTCCGTGTGCAGTGTTCAAATGAGTTTTTATCAAAAATGGGAAATAACTCAGTGTCCGCGACGTAATACTGTATAGTACTGACGCTTCTTTAACGGGATAACTGAATGTACTTTTGTTTCCATCCTAGGAATTCAGCAGCCAGTAGTCTCGTGGTTCCTTCTCAGTAGTCATTTTGGCATTTTTGCATCATTTGATAACTTTATAGTCTTACTCTCTTGTTCCACATAAACTAGAGTAGATTCTAAAATGACCTGCGAACTCTCGCATAAGCGTGAAAACTACTGACTCAAGCGTAAAGGTGAAATATTAATTCTAAACAGTTAACAGAAAGTCACGGTCTTCGTGCGTGACAAAGACACCGTCCAACTCGCGGTGAAACTAAACGTAGAATATAATTTAAGGATCTAGAATCTAGAATAAAATAGTGCAAGATAGAACTTAAGTTACGCCTACCAGGTTCACAAAAACCTAAACTGGCGTGATGATTAATCCGATATGGCCAAGATTCCGACTAGCATAATAGCGAAACAACCACGAAAAGTGCGCTAGGCTAGCGAAACACCCTCTAAATAAACTCAGAGATTCACCCGTTTAAATAAGCACTTCACTTAACTTTAAATTTATATCTTGGCGAGAGAATGTGAGGGGAAGTTGAGAAGTTCAGCTAAAGTATCAAACTTTAAATTTGTTATGAAAAATAAGGAAAACCATGCAACTTCTGGTAAGTAGTTTCGATTCTCCGAAACGAATCGTAAATGTATTTCATACTTTCCCCGTTTGTCATTCGGCATTCTGTAGAATGCCTAGGAAATGTGTGAAATATGAATCGTTTCATACATTGCGAGCTAGTTTTAGGTATTATATAGAGTGCCAGATTTCAAACTTTGCCGGTAACATATATGAGTATTATAAGTAGTCCATAGTTTAGTGTTTAGTCCAAGTTCAGTGTAATTTCATAAAAATATTTAATATTTATCAATAGATACATCAGAATTTTTAAAGCATTTTTATTTAAATTAATCATTTTAAAAAGTTCAAAAAATATTTTTAAGAACCGTGTTTACTGCTTTTAAATCGCTTGGTTTTGTTACTCAGCAGCCTTCCGCAATAAATCTGAAAGTTTCGGTTTTACTGAACAGCAACATGCTGGAGGAAAATAAAAATGTTTTAATTCCGGCAGGTGGCAAAACACTGCTTTCAGATAGCCGTGTTTGTTGATTAAAATTGAAATGTATTACATTAGAAGAAATTATATTACGTTTTTCTGAATTGCAACAGTATGGCGATTTGGAGATAAAAATATTTATGTAGAATAATGTTTCTTCTTATTTCGAACAATATTGCCACTTTTCCCTACATTGTCATCAAAGAACTTAAAATGATTTACAATACAGATTTTGTGGAATGTAAATTTGAGCACTAGAGAATTCTCTAAGATTAACGACTTTACTACCATCTTATAATCCCTTCAATGTGATATCTAATTATGTAATGATTAATTAGTAATTAATCAATGTTCATCTACAGATTGAACTCTGAACGTCATTTCTTGTGTTTCACAGGAGAAGTTGCATCCGCCGAGGTGGTAGTTGCGACCATAGACCAAGCGATTGCTGCTTCAGTTCTTCCTGTCGATGCAACCTTTGGGGTACCAACTGCAGATGCCAGAGGGTTGGCCTGTTCCAAAAATGGGGTAAATGAGACGGAAGTCCCCCATGATACATTTGTTCTTCCGATATGGACCTTCTGAAAAGAATATTCTCCCGATTTTTGCATTCTGTATGATTGATGGTTAATGCTGCAGAGCAAAATGTTCAAAATTGTTCTAGTCATTAATGTCTAATGAATTATCCTTACTTTCTTTTTTATGCATATTTTCATGTTTTCTTTCATTGTGTATTTATTTTATTTACTTATATATTTATGTCAAACAACTCCGCATAACTTTCAGTTCTCAATAACAACTTCATTGAGGTAACAAACACATAATCTAATAATTTTGTTGAAAATAGTCTACCCTTCATACAAAATTAGAAAGTTTTCTCTAACAAAAATTTAACTGCATAAACTGTTTGGTATTTTCGAAAAATAGCTAAAATCATATATTTTAATATTATAAAGTTGTCATTTTCCTATTCGTAATGAAATGTCACTAATAAAATTGAATCTTCTTTATAAATTTGTTCTGCTAATAAAATGTTCGAAATTATATATTCACATGAAGTGCCATTTTCTCAGTTTATGAGCTATTATTAAAATATTGCTTCTTCATGTATGAAACGAATTCTTATTCAAATTTCTGTCAGTTATCCTTAAAAGTTTAGTCTTACGTTATAGCAAAAACTAGACATTCACAAAAGAACTAGCTACATAGTGAAAATTTATAAACCGAAATAAATTGACTCCTATTTAGGAAACCGAGATAAATTGACTAAATTATATTTTTGATCTTAGATTGTCTAAAGGTATGCCCCTTTATAAATATATCATTCTTTAAAGCTAAATGCATGACGTTTCATATTTTTTAAGCCATAATAAAATTAATTTAAACATATTTAGTAAATTATCAAAGTATTAAATGATTGATTTTTTTCTTCTGGTTCATTGCATACTTTAATATTCATAGATGAAAGTTAAATCCTTAACATTTAGTCATTTTTAACTAGAACCATTTTACATTGAAATTTCTTAAATGTATTATTGGTGTAGGAAAGGTTATGGCTTTCTATTTTAATGTAATGCTTTTATTATATCTCATAAAATAAGATCAAAGTAAAGAATATTTCGAGGTAAATTTTCATAAGCTGTAATTTTCATTCCACTGTAATGACTCATGACAATAATTAACATGATTCCTACAAGTTTTAACAAAATTTAAATTCATTGTTTGTGCTTTCTTTTACGCACTAATTATAAAACAATTTAAACAAAATTTAAATTGTTTTATAATTAGTGCGTAAAAGAAAGGTTATATTTATGTACTTTAAATGCGTCTTATATTACAAACAATCCTAAAATGTATTTTATTTATTTCACGAACTTCATTCAAAGTAATGGTACTAGGTAATTTAATCTCAAGTACATCTACTTTGAGATTATGACATTAAGATCATTATTGAAAATCCCAACCACTTAATTAAATATCATCAATAATTACCATAATTATAATTTATCAGTTATTTGATTCTTGACTACTGTACTCAAATGACTATTATACATTTTCTTTCAGTCTCTTTTTCATCGATTTTACCATTATATTTTAAATTCTAATGCAAATAGTTATGAGTTACAATAAATTGTTTACTAAAACTCATATAAGTTACTAGTGCTCACATCACAAACTTCAACATGTTTCCAGGAGAATAGCGTATTAATACAACCAAAATACGAAGGTTTTCATTTACAGCTTTCTTTTTCTAAATCTTTCACTGCTAAAAATTATTTTTAAAAATAAAAATATATATTCTAGGTAATTTAAACCAATTCATATATTATTTTGAAAATTATATATTTTAAATGAGGGTAATAATTTTTGATTAATAATGAAGTGTCAGCTATCTGATTTTTTCCAATCTACATCAAAGTAATTTGTAGAATTAGTTATTTTGAAGAGTTTCCTCTCCTTTGAGAAAGATTTTGATCTATATGTCAATGTGCATTTATGTTTGTAATCAAAATGTGTTAACCCTTTAATAAATAAAGTATTCTTCTAATATGGCAATTATACGAATTATTCCTTGAATTTTAGAATGGTTAAATAATACTTTTATTCATTACTTTTTAGGCATGCATAACAAGACAGGATGAATTGTTCCTTAATGGAAACATACCAAAAAATAATAAAATATAATAAATGCTCTATTACACATGATGAATTCAACAATAAGTGGGACACATACCGCTCAATAAAACAGTATTTCTTTCTTTCCAGTTTCATGGCATAAAAAGGCATAATTTTTTTGCGAAATTATCACATGAAAAGCCAAAGTTTATATTTACCATGAAACATGTGCTACTTTATACCACTTTACAGATATAATAGTGCACGGTGGATAAACTTATAAACTTCAGTCCTAAGGATTCATATGTAAGGATCCATATTCCTAAGGATTTAGTCCTGAGCTGTATGCTAAATGTTTGTACCTTTTCATAGTAATCTATGAAATACTAGTATTATCGTAATAATATTTTATGCATATAATACAATAAAATGCAAGTGTTAAATAAATGACTTTTGGCTGCTGTACGTGTTCACTATACTATCATCGTAGAGACAGCATTTGCAACGGCTTTAATAAATACGCGGCGCAGATGAATAACAGCAAATGGAATGGTACCGGCAATATGGATGCTGTAGACTTTTGGGAATGCTCTTTGTGATGCATTTCATGGCCTTCATGATTTGGGTCGTGATCTTCGTGCTCATGACCAGAAGAATGTTCGTGATGATGATCTGCACTTCTTGCAACTCTCGTTCGTACATTCCTTTCTCTGTTGTTATTAACAATTTTAATACCCCTAGCTGCTATATTTTGCGGATTTTCATTCAAAAGAGACAACATTTGGTGCAAAATATATAAGTTGTCCCCTTTCTTTTCTGGTACAACTAATGGTATCAAAGGTGCAACACGCTGTTTTGTTGCAGCTGAGGATTTATTTGCTTTTCGCTCTGGCACAAGAAGCGGCAGGTACGATTCTCCTGACTTACTATCCCCATCAGCATTCTTACGCCTGGAAGAAGGATTGGGATAAGGCAATCTTCCTAAAGGCGTCTGGATGCCACTTTCTTTAGAACTGGCAACCGTTCGCCTAACAGGTTCTTTAGCCCTTATGAGAACAGGAATAACACTTCTACCATTTTGATTTGTAGTGGTTAATGCTAATATGTGTCCAGCTGGGCTTCCGTGATGGGAGAAATGTGGATTATGGCTTAGTGCTCTGGCAACAACTTTGTCAAAGCTTCCATTATTATTCACAACAATTGGTATAAAACTGTTCTCATAATGTACACTGTACGGTTGTGCTCTATGATGATGCAAATTGCTTGAAGATTTTGGTTCCGTTTTTGTGCCTTGTATTACATCCAACTGGGATCTCAATTTATGTAAAGCTTTCTGGCGATCAGAAGCTGGTGTAGTTGGCTGGATCCACCACTGCGTTTTACTCCTTTCTCCACCGGAACTACGGTATGGCTGTTGGGTATTCTGATGGATTTTGACTCTACCAGGAGTTCTCTGAGTAGGACTTAGTATAATAGTCTTTACACCGGCTGTTGATTTCTCCGTAGGTGACTTGTTCAAGATATATTGTCCTTGCTGCCCATTTGAAGGGATCACATCCCGAATGTGAAAAACTTCCATTTTTGGGGTTACGTGTTTTTTATGAGTAGCTGAATGAGACTTTCTGGTTGTAGGAGCGCGAGTAGTGGAGTGTTTATAATAAAGACTTTTCGATTCCGGAGTAGTGAAAAAATATTGATTTTGCTTACTAGTTTCTGTTGTTGGTAAGTAATACAAATTATTCCATGTAGATTTGCTTGCCTGAGTAGTCTTGGGACTGTAGTAAACACTAGCGGTAGGACGGTAGTACAGTTGCTTCTGTGGTTCATCTGACGTAATGGTTTTCTTTTCCGTCAATGTTTTGCTGTCATCGGAAGGTAAATTTAATGGAAGTCCGTCATTTCCTGAATATTTTGGTTCATAGCTAATTTCTGAACTCTCTTCATCAGATGATAAAGATATTCTTTTTTTGTCTCCACCTCTTTTATAATCACTGGCGTAAGTGTTGTATGTGACATTCTTTACGTGTTGTACGCTGGCCTCGTGATGTAATCCTTTAACTTCACTGCATGAATCAACGACGTGTATTTTCCACCCAAGATGGCGGTGGGTGTAGCACTAAAGAGAAAATGAAAGAAGTATTATATTAGAAATAAATGTTATATTATTATATTAAAAAGGTGTTAAATGTTTTATTACAAACAAATCAAATGTAAATTGTCATATACTTTTAGTAATTCTGTAAGCACGGAGCCATCTAAAACATTTAAAATTGCATTTGAATAAAAATTAACTTTCAGAAAATTAGACACTATTTGCAAAAAAGTTTAATAAAAGCTATAAATGTTGCAAATGAAAGAAAAAATTTAACTAATATCTAAAACGCTGTCCGCTGCTAAAATGTAATAGAAATGGCGTTAGAAATGAGCTTATGATTCAACTGTGTTTCATCGCAATCAACCATTATTGCGAAATATTGTTTTTCGTACATTTAATGAATCAAAACAAACTAGACATTAATCCAATTGCTGTAAATTAAGTGGATGCTAAAAATAATATTTTTTTAGAAATATTTCCGTAAAACTCACTGAATTTAGCTACAGGAAAAAAAAGAATTGTGAAGATTTTTTATTACCGTTAATGATTACGTTTTGTTGGAAAATACAATATAGTAAAATGCGCAATCTCTATAGGGTTTTATGAGAAATAATATCTTGGTTTTAAATTAAAGTAGTAATTTTACTGATTTGACCTTTCAAGCTTTAAAGACTAAAAATATTAAATTGAAAAGAATCTTATTTAGCTATGTAGAGCACAAATTATAATTATAATATCTTATAACATTAATTCTAAGACTATGACATATAAATGTTGCAAAGATGACATAAAATATGACGACACTAAACTAAAAACTAAAGAATACTGATGTTAAAAGATTATAAAATTAGTGTCATGTATAGACATTTCCATTGAGATACATAACTTATTTTACATTTTTCTATATATTTTAGCTTCTTCATATATTATTTTAATTTTTATTACCACAAAATAATTCAATATTAGCTGAATATACTTTTTAAATATTTGAATGCATCTTCATGGTTTAAATATTGTTTTGTATGACATTACATTTCAACGCGAAAATATATAAATTCTTTATAGTCACTGTTGAATAGGATGAACATTCTTTAGTATTGTTTGAGGTTCATGCATTTTTAATTTAAGCATCATTGAATAGAATAAATCTCAATGCACGAACTTTTGATTCATTAAACAGGTAAGTATGTTAGTTAAATTGTCGAAAAATCTGGACTGCGGAGAATTCTAGAAATCATATTTTTATTTTAAAAGGAAGTATGCAAAGATTTTTCTCAATTTTAAACAGAGAAAATTCCCTGTGATAATTTTAAACAAGAACTAAAGTAGGCCTTTCGTAATATTATTAAGCTTAAATTACAAGTGAATAGATATATTAGCTTTTTAATGCAAAAGTTTTAATTTTTTATCTAAGGTGAAGATTTTTGAATTAATGCAATTCGTAAAGTTTCGCTCATTAACACTGAAATGAATATACAGGTTTCTGTTATAAAGCACTTATGCAGATTTGATGATTTAATGGAACAGAATAATTTTTTGCAATTTGCACGCTTCTTCAAAAACTCAACCGAATGATAACATTAACCGCAATCAAATTAAGAAGCATGTCTGCAGTTAATTTCAGCTGCTTCTCAATTTGTATTAATATTTGCATAGTTTGTAAACTTATATTTCAATCTGCGTTTTCAAAGTGCTTTGTGGTGATCTGTTTCACTCAAATTAAATAACTTGTCTTTCAACTCATATTTCAAGTGAATGAAGAGTCATCAGGTTTTCTTAAAGCAGGAGACGTGAAAAATGGGCAATGCTCTCGCCGGAACTCGAACCTGGACTTCTCAAGTATGCGTCAAGTGTGCTACCGTTACACCATGAAGGCACGGTGGGAGGAGGAGTTAAAAAATACCTTGTATGAGAAAAGAAGTAAAACTCGGATGGAAGTAAATCAGGCGATTATGTGGGATGTTCCAGCGTTGCCACATTGCTAGATATTTGATACATTGCTAGATCAGCTAGATATTTCGCAGTTTCCTAACTACCTCACAAATTTAGAGACACTATACGTAAATACGGGACACGAATATGACGGCCTGAGGTGTTCTAGGAACAAAATACACTCTGCCGGGCGATAGTGTCTATTTTAATTTTTTTTTCACGACAAGAAAACAGAATAAACAGGAAATTTATTGGGGATTTCTTAAAATCTAGTCTAGGATCTCGCTTTGTAGAACTATGCGGTAGTCAGGCCCTGTGCACTACAGAAAATTAAACTACTGTTGTTTTTGTTGAAAGGCGATAGGTTCATATCATCCATGAGGTGACATCGTAATCGAGGTGGTACCAGGTGGCAGTCAGGCCCTGTGCACCACAGAAAATTAAACTGCTGTTGTTTTTGTTGAAAAACGATAGGTTCACATCATCCCTGAATAAGAAAATAACTTAATTCTAACTAACTAAAACTTAGTCTTAGCTGTACAGAAATAAATAAGTTGATCTGTAATTAAACCTCACCGGTGAACACTAACAGGCACGTAAGACTACAGCCGAATGCAGTAATATAGGCTTAAGAAGTAACTAAAATAATTCCTACATTTTTTATTCTGAGAACCATTATTTCGAGGGTGGGAGTTTGTGGCTATCCTATTATCTTGAAAATAAAAATCAGTTTTTCGATTAAAACTTTAAATTTTTGCCTAGAAAATGCCATTTAAAATATTTGAAACGGAGTTCATTCGACAATTACTTTTATAGGCAATAAATAAAACAAAATATTTTCAACGTAATATGTAAGATCTTCCACCCGAATAATTTTATATTCTTGATCTGCTTTTAACCTCATAAAATATATTTGCAGTATTAGAATCTCATCAACAATAGAAGCAATTTTGATCTCTTCACTAAATTATTCCAAATTCAATACGATACTACTGCTTAGGCATTTAAGCTTCGAAAATCAGCAAATGCAAATAAGTATATATTAATTCTCATTCAAGTTAACAGGACCATTATGAAACGCGTACGTTAGGCAGAGTATAAAAAATGTAATTCAAGCCTAAGAAAGACAATAAAGATGATTAATCCAAGGTCCTTTGATAGTTAATCCAGAATATAAAATGAAAAAAAAATTAAAAAACAAAAACAAAATAATTTTGCTGAAAAAATACTGAAGATCTGCATCTTTTATTCCATACATTAGACTACATTAATAGACAATCATCATGGAATCATAATACAGAGTAAAGGTTAAGATTTTAAAATCTGATCAAAATCAATTATTTCTTAAAACGCATACTCAGATATTTCGTTACACTTACTGGTATCTGCAAATCCAAGAACTTATTATTTTACCTTAACGCAGAACACTTGCTGTGGGTTCCAAATAACTTAACTAAGTCAATATATATAAAAATAAGGTGTCACATATATTCTGTGAGGTATTGTCACCACCAGAATATCTAATCATCAAACAAACAGTCACAGAATTATTCACAGTCACAGAAAGTTTATTTTACATTTAGAGGGATTAAATTAAAATATACAAATATAAATTTACCAGCTGACCTCGACCTAGTTTGACTAGAGACTACAAGTTTGCCTAGACCGTGACAGACATTCAAACACACACTTACCGAAACAGAAGCTAAAGTTTGTCTACAATAGTCACAGCAAAACCATCATTGGAACTGCCAACTGTGTTTTAATCAGCCAGGCAGAATTATAATTACTTAATCTCTAAAACTTTATGGTAAAAGTGCTTCCCACTCAAATCTGCCTCAATTGTGGGGTGAGTGAAACTCTTGGCGAAAAGGGGCAGAAAGAAAAGAAGTGTCCCTTGTACACAGATATAGAACCAATCACTCGAACTCGGTGCACAGCCAAATGAAAATGTTTCCAAGTGATACTAGCAGAAATATACGTCACGCTAGTTCAGATATTCGAATGCTTGTTACAGAACATTTCTTCATTTAAAAAAATATGTAATTAAATGCTTTATTGGTATCAATTGTCAATGAAACACACCCACTCCAAACATTTCTCAATGTTAGTAGAGGTCAATTAGCTCATATAGGTTTGGTTTGGTTTATTTGATTATGGCAAACCACACTAGGACTATCTGTCTAAGGGGAGAGATGCCTTCATGTAGGACTTTCTAAAGAAATTGGCTTGCATACATGTCACAAATGGGGAAAACTAAGAAAACGTCCACGTAGCCATCTCTTTTGCCCGGAATCGAACCCAGATCTGACCTGTTCAGCGATTTTACCACTCGACCGCTGTGGTTTTCATACAGTATTAATCACAAATATAATATATATATATACTTCATGAAAATCTATGGCAAGGTTGCCTAAGTCGTACCCTCTATGAAAAAATATAAATTGTATGGGGTAACAATATCTTGTATTGTCTTTGCTGATATTTATTACAATAAAATTCCATAGAATCTACTCTCTTGGATAACAATAGTAGCATTTATGAACACGAACTTAGTACGACTTAAATAACGAAACGTCGTAACACCTATAGCGTAATTCGTCCTACGTTTAAAATTGGATAATTATAATAAAACTTTATTTTCACAGTTAATTTATCTATACAATTAATTACAACAATTATCACAAAGATTTTGTTTTCATTTTCTTATCAACTCCAGCACTTAAGTCGTGTACCCAGAGATAAAATTAACGATTTTCTCTTTCGAACTTATTATCCATGTAATTATATAGAAATTTTAGAAAGCTTCCAAAAGTATAACGATACGAATATAGTGCTAGACGTCCATTATATACAATAATAATAAAATTTAAAGTTTTAAGATAAAAGTACCGCCGTTTATATGAGTAGAATAATAAATGGGCCATCGAATAATCGAAAAGGGTTCAATCTTGCTACACAACAATAAGCAAATTATTTCCCATGCTCTCTCTAATGTTTTGAAAGAAATATACTTATCAATATTAAAATTTCGATTAAGAGGATTCTAGTATCATTAGGATGTAAATTTAGATGATGAAATGGATAGT